TGTTCTCTCAATTTAATTTTGTCACGAAAATGTTTCAACTTGAGTTACCTTGACTGAAACTTCCTGTTGTCGCTATCAAAATTGATTTATGACTGAACTTTTTGTAGCAGTTGGAAAAAAATGCTTAACAAGGGATTGTTCTCACTTCATTCGAGGGTGTAAGTGATCAGATTTGAAACATTTTTGTTGTTATTAGCATGTACTACATTGTATGTAACATTTGCTTAAGAACTTGAGATGTTCGTTGAACATGAAAATTCATCACCTTCTTATTTTATTCGCGATCAACTCTTTGTTTTCTTACTGGTTAACATAGCAAATTCTTTTCTACAGGACCTGCAGTCAAGGTACACAAATAAGGATAAACAAACCATGAGGTTTGAGACACATAATTTTAACGGCTCATTTCCACATCTGAAGAATATCAAGATCGATGACCTTTGGGGACTACTAAGTGAAAATAAGTTTGTGTTCTCTTATTGATAACATTTGGCTCAAGGCCACAAGCATATACACAAGGCTACTAAACCCAACTTGTTCATGTAACTTGTTTGGCCATATGTGCATTGAGAAGCAACTTCAGACCTATGATGCATTAGTTGAGTTGAGTTAAGATTCATTGAGCCTTGTTTCCATTCAGATGTAACAGATAACTTCTTAGTAGCTTGACCAACATTTTGATCTTTAATTAACTAAACATCGATGTGGCAAATGGGATATAATACTCCATCCGTTTCATTTTATATGTCATTCCTTGATTTCCAATTCCCCCGTGATTGCTATGTTAGCACACGCAGTAAGTGGGAAAGCGTTGTTGCTGATTACTTCAATGGTTTGGTGTAGCATCATTTCTTATGGACATGAAGAGTGTGTTGATGGTGTACACATTAGCTCTTAGATTGTAATGTGAAACTAGAGTATATTATAATAGAAAACTTTCACATATAGCCGATTAAAAATAGCCTAATTACTCTTCATAGCTATAGTTTAATAATTACAATTCGTAGCTACACGTTATATGGAGGAGAGAGTCAAGCGAGACTGGGAAGGGGAGGAGAGAAGCGAGAGAGGGGGAAAAAGAGTGGGAGAAAAGTGAATTATATATGTATATCGATTAGATAATCGTATATTATACATATGTATTTGTATATATAACAAGCGAGAGTGAGAGACGCGAGCAAGACTGGGAGATGGAGGAGAGAGGCGAGCGAGAGTGAGAGAGGCGAGCAAGACTGGGAGATGGAGGAGAGAGGCGAGCGAGATTGAGAGAGGTAGGAGAGAGGCGAGCAAGAGAGGTAGGAGAGAGATGAATTTTATATGTATATAATTGTATATTATACATATACATTTATATACAAGGAAAGCGAGATTGGGAGAGAGAGGAGAGAGACGAGCGAGATTGGAGAGGAAGAGATAGGTGAATTATATATATATATATATTTAAATAATTGTATATTATACATATGTATTTGTAGATTCTAGTGAATTATACATATACAAACATGATTAATTATAAAAATTCAAAGTAAGTCCGCGTAATTAATGTATAATGTTAGTTGCGAGTAGTAATTATAGCAAAGTACAACTATAATGTATAATTAAATAATATAAGTTTGCTTTGTTGCGTAATTTTCTCTATTAGGATCTCTAAATTGATATTACTAGGTTTTATTATTTTTGCGAACTTATATGCTTTGCATATTGTACAGAAGATAAGGTTGATTTATATTAATAAAAAAAATGTAACGATCGACGCTCTTGTCCAGTAGGGGTATAAAATCTTTTAAGCACGCGAAAGCATATTTTTTCCCTCTATTTCAGTATGTTTATTGTATTCTTGTATATCGTATCTCTTTATAACAACGTAATTTTATTATAACGATAAGAAAAAATTGAATATCAATTTTTCATAGTTTGTTATTGTGCTTTTGGTAATCACTTTTTTATTTGTAACCTCCTTTACTTGTCCTAATTCTAATTGTGCAACATCTAAGTTTTATTCTAGTAAATTAAAAAATAATAAGGTTACAGATTTACGAGGGAAAATTATGATTTTTAGCCAAACTAACAAAATCAACTTCTTTAGGAAAATCTACCATTTTTATCTCTTAAAAGTGTTTTGTTATTATGCACAATACTTTTGTTTTTCTTACAAGTTTGATTTAAACACCTCAATTTTAAAATAAATATTTTTAGTTTATTACTTTTTCCGTCCACAGTTGTTTATTAAAAATAGATGTCCAAAATTAATTGTCGATTTAAACAATTAAGAAATAATTAGTCACTTTTTTCCAATTCTGCCCTAATGATGGTGCAGTTCAATTGAAAAGTTATGTAGACTTTTGATATTCTTGATATAGTAAGGTTACATAGTCAAATTACATATTATATTAAATTTTTCTTGATGAGTGTGCATGACATTACCTTGAGAAACAATTATGGACGGAAGGAGTAGTAGTTTGACCACATTTTAATCTTTAATTAACTAAAATTGTTGTTTTGATTCATGTGGTAAATGGGAGTTAATAAAATTTACTTAATAATATTTATTGAATTTTTTTTAGTGTGAACGTAAAATGAGAGCACATATCCATCCTCCACAGTTAATAGTTAGTGAGATTGATGTTGCTTCGTTCTATCTTGTGTGCACCATTTTCAAAATAAAACAGTTAAAAGTTAATGACAATGTAATTTGATATCATTTATTGAGTTCGTTGAAATACTGTCCGTTCAATTATCAGTATTGAAAATATTTATTGATATTAATGTTTCTTCTTTTTTTCTTGTGAGCATTGTTTTTAAAGCAAAACGAAGTAAATGATATTATAGTTATTATTTATTGAGGTCGTTGAAATTCCGTCCATTTAGTTATCAATATTGAAAATATTTGTTAAATTAATATATTTCTTTCGTTTTCTCTTTGTGTGCATTGTTTTTAAAACAAAATAAAGTAAATGACATGTGGTCTACTATTATTTATTAAATTTGTTGAGATTTTGTGAGTCTAATTATCAATATCGAAGAATAATGTTTTTTAATACTTGACCAACATTTTGACCTTGAACTAAGTAGAAGTGTTGTTTTGATCCATGTGGTAAATGAGAGTTAATAAAATTAACGTAATAACATTTATTGAGAATTTTCAAGTGTGAACGCAAAATGAGAACATTCTGTCTCCGTCTTCCCATAATTAATAGTTATTGGGAGTGATGTTGCTTCATTCTCTCTTATGTACATTATTTTCAAAATAAAATCGAAAAAAAGTTAATGACAGCGTAATTTGATATCATTTATTGAGTTCGTTGAAATTTTGTCACTTCATTATTTAGTATTGAAAATATTTGTTGAGATTAATATTCTGCTTTCTCTCTTGTGTGCATTGTTTTAAAAACAAATGAAGTAAATGATAGTGTGGTCTACTATTATTTATTGAATTCGTTGAAATTCTGTGAGTTTAATTATTAGTATTGGAGAATAATATTTCATAATATTATGTAAAAAATTAATTCAAATCCAAACAATTACAAGAAAATCAAATTCTTTTAAAAAAGATAATTCTTTATTATTAGACTCAAAACTTATTTATCCCACATTTTTAATCATGCACGCCAGTTTCTTCGTGCATGTGTCGTGATACAATGTAAAAAATCGTGTAACTTTTCATCAACAATTCAAATAATAATAATTAGATATATGTGTTATTAATCTTTTCACTAACAACTCAAATAATCAAAGAATGTATGTATTGTCAAACTCTTCACTAATACATCAAGTAATAAAAACACACACATGTTTTTAATCTCTTTAATTACTAACAAGTCAAATAATCAGAAAAATACACATGTTATCAATCTCTTCACTAACAACTTAAATATTTAAAATATACACGTATTATCAATCTCTTCACTAACAACTTAAATATTTAAAATATACACGTATTATCAATCTTTTCCCCAACAATTCAAATAATTAATTTTTTAAATATATGTGTTGTCAATCTCTTCACTAACAACTCAAATAATCAAAATGTATGTGTCTTATCATTCTCTTCACTAGTAACTCAAACAATAATATTACACATGTTATCGATCTTTTTTCACAAATCAAATAATTAGAAAATAAACATGTTATCAATCTTTTGGCTAGCAACTCAAATAATCAGCAAATAAACATGTTATCGATTTCTTCACTAATAACTCAACTAATCATAAAATACACATGTTGTTAATATCTTTACTAACAACCTATTAGATTTCTTCACTAACAACTCAACTAATAAGAAAAATACAATTGCTACCAAGCTCTTCACTAACAAGTCAAATAATAACAAAATACATATGTACTAACAAATTAAATGATCAAAAAGTAGACGTGTTATAAATTTACTAACAAGTCAAATAATAAGAAAATATAGATGTTATCAATCTCTTCACTAACAACTTAAATAATCAAAAAATACACGGGGTTATAAACTCAATAATTAAACAATATATGCATTATCAATCTCTTCACTACAAATTAAACACATATATCATCAATCTCTTCACCAACAATTCAAATACACATATTATCAATCTCTTCCCTAACAGATTATATAAATAAATTTTTTTTATGTTATATAGATCTCTTTGCAAACGACTCAAAGAGATTAATCTCTTTACTAACAATTCAAAGCGATTAATCTCTTTGCTAACGACTCAAAGAGATTAATCTTCTTTTTGCTAGCGACTAAAAGAGATTAATTTCTTTGCTAACGAATCAATGAGATTTAACAAAAGGATAAATCTCTTTACTAACAAACTCAAATAATCAGATTATACACATACGTAATCAATTTTTTTTACTAACAAACTCGGTTAGTCAAAAAATACACGTGTAATCCATTTAATGATCTACGTTACGTAATTATCCCGAATTAAATTTTACGCGCAAACCCGACCCGATCAGAGCCACCTACTTTCCTATAAAAGCCAGTTAACTTCTTCAGTTCATTCACTTCCCTCATGACCCCAAATACCTAACCCCCAAATTAGTTCTTCATTTCATCAATGGTGAAAAGAATCATGGCGATTGAAGATGGACTCAGTGATTTTCCTGAGGCAATTCTAGTTCACATTCTTTCTATGTTGCCGGACGGTAAAGAAATAGTGAGAAGTAGTGTGTTAGCTAAGCGATGGAGGTATCTTTGGAGGTCTGTTCCAATATCCCTGGATTTTAGCCACCCTGAGAATGCTTATTTTGGTCGCCCTGAGTTGGGGGAATTGGAGATTTTCGATTTCGTGAATTCCATCCATAGGGAGCTTCTGTATTGGGGGTCTGGTCAGAAAATCAGAAAATTTAAGATGGCTGTCAATTTTTCTGCTCCGGATAGGTTCGATAAAGATATCGATTTGTGGGTTTATTTTGCGATGAAGAAAGCTAATGTTGAGGATCTTACTTTTGAGTGTTTTTCTGGATACAAGTTACCTCAGTTTGCGTTTGAGAGTCCGTTGGTGAGGAATTTGAATTTTCAGTACTGTAAGATGAAATTGGAACCTTCCGTTAATGTGAACTGGAGAAATCTAGTATCTCTATCAGTTGGATATGTGAAACTGACTGAGGGTGTCATGAGAAAAATATTGTCGGGTTGTCCTAACTTAGAGTGCTTGCTATTGGACTTCGTTTGGGGCTTTGATCGTCTTGAAATCAGCAATGTGAAGTTGAAAAAGTTGACCCTAAACAGCTATGAAACTAGTGACGGTGATGTTTGGCTTGAAATATTAGCTCCGCATATTCAAAGTTTGGTACTTTTGGGGTATTCCAGTGGGATACGCTTGGAAAATGTGGCTTCACTTGTCACTGCATTCTTTCGTATAGATTTTATGTTTGATTTTGGAGAGGTAGAAATATTGGACCAGCGTGAGATTAGTTGTCTGAAGGAACTTCTTCACAGCGTTGCCCATGTCAAGAATCTGGAATTGAGTCACTGGTGCATTGAGGTTTATTTATACTTTTCGTTATATAGCATTCATGATATATTTTTTCTCGATTTGGAATTACTTATTTGCTATTGTATTCATTTGTTTATTACAATAACCAATTTGGTATGTACCTAGTAAATGATTACATTCTTATGCCAATCTAGTTAGGCAGTGATTGAGATAGGACCTTTTGGGCAAAAATTCTGATGACCAACATTTAGAATAAATAGTTTGCAATGGACATAACAACATGTAAAATTTGAATTCATTTACATTGATCATAATTTTTTAGTCATGTGAATGGGGTTTTCAAAGTGTTTAATATCCATTTTTGGATCTCCAAACCAACCTTCAACACTGTTTAACAATTCACATGTCATTTGTTAAGTATGTCACATTTCTTTGTTTTGACATAATCCGGTTATCTATTTGGTTTACAAGTGCATGTCCAAACTGGCATTGGAAGGCTTCCAGTATCAACCATCGAGCTCAAGATTCTTAAAACTTCACACAAACAATGAAGAGTTGGACCTACCAGGAATTTGCAGCGTTATACAGAATTCATCAAATATTGAGACATTGATCATTGACTGGCACCATCAAGATCGAGGAGTAAGTTTTCTTTACGCCTTCAATCAAAAAATTATTTTATTTTTCTTGAAATGGAATAAGAAACAACTATTAACGGAAGAAGACGATGATATATATCAACATATTTTGATCTTAAGTGAAGAAAAAGATCATATATTTTCCTAAAATTTAAACCGCCTTGCTTGTAAATTTCTTTGGCCCACCTCTTTAGAGAAGGTAACAAATAAACTGGCTCAATCCTCAAGTAAAGAGAAGATTGAGAATGTTCAATCTATGAGAAAAGCGTGTGAGATAAGCCTCTAATGTGTAAGCAAAAAGTGGGTTTCTGTATAGGAGGTGGGCGACTATATACACTATGAAACATAACTAGTCAAATTACTTGATGAACTTTACAACAATAGCTTCTAACTTGTGGATGCTTGCTCCCAGTTCATTGTTCCTTTAAGAACTAAAAACGATAAAAACTGAGGAGTATTTTCAAGTAGCATGTGAGCTCACAGAAAGATCTGAGGAGTATCTTTGCGCCTCGCTTCACGCTTCTGTGAAGTGAGCCCTCATCGCTCTTTTCCGCTTCTCGCTTCCCAAAACTCTGATATTCCTCAAGATATTCCTCGAGTTACTCTAACAGATATTTGCCACTATCATAATTGATTTCTATGAGTAATCCGCTTCTATAATGACCTTTTTTTTGTGAAAAAGAAGTTTAACACGGAATAGTACTCACCTTCACGCAAAGAGATAAAGGACCAGCTTCAAGAAGCGTTGAAACATTTTTCTTTTGTTGTTTGCTTATACCACTTTGTAACTTTTGCTAAGCACTTGACTTGTTCCTTGAATCTAAAAAGTAATTCATCACCATTTTATTTTATCTAACTATCAGTTCATTGGCTTTTACGTCCATCTGAGGAGAATAACTGGTTAATGTTTGCGAATTCTTTCGTGCAGTACTTATATGCTTATTCTTTTAAGGATAACGAAAGGCAAAATTGGACATTTGAGACACATAAATTTAACTGCCCATTGCTACATCTGAAGACTATCAAGTTCATTAATTTGGTTGGACCATTAAGTGTAAATAAGTTTGTTCTTCCATTGGTTAAATATTTGCTTGAGAATGCAATCGTGCTAGAAAAGTTCGAAATAGCTGCCAGATGCAACGAGATTGCTGTGTGTCTTGATCAGATTAGAATTGAACAAAAGCTCTTGAGCTTTCCAAGATCCTCTTCGCATGCTTCAGTTACCTTCACCAATCAAAGGTCTTTGCCACCTCGACTTTTGCTTTAATCACAACATGCTTAACAGTTGTTACTTTTATGTTTGAAATTGGTTTGCAGCTATAGACAAGGTTAGGCTTCTACTTGTCAGTAATCAGTATCCAAGGAGTTTTTAGTATTTCTTCATGTCTAAGTACTTAACATTGTGTTTATTATCGGATCATCATGTTCATGTGTGAACTCTTGTTCCAAATGCTTTGTGATATATACTCATATTGCTGAATCCTGGTCATTTTGCAAAAATAGTATTTCTAGATTTATTATGTGTCAAATGTTTTGTTTCTGTTAGCTTATGTTATTCACACAAACATGTGAGATCCTGCACTGCAATTAGTTAGAAAGAGTAAATTCATAGGATTGTGTGCAAATCCCTCTGATATTATTTGAGAATACAAACTCTGCCTTCTTCTTACCGTCAAGTGACTTTCAGTTCCTTTCTTTCTCTTTGCTATAGTCAAATAGAACTAGAATTGATGTTTTCTTGTTTCCTACTTACAAGAGCCCATATCCTTGCTTTTCCATCAATTTCTAATTCTGATCTTCCTCCCCGATTTGTTACTGACCAGTATCTCACAAGCTTATATGAACTTTGAAAATACACTTTTGATAGAAAAACATACCTACATTATGTGCTTCTCATATTCGCACTAAATCAGTGCTATAATACGTAATACTTTTTTACCATTTTGATAAAGGGGATAAAGAAATTAAATGGAGAAAACAGACTTGGAGTGGTTGCTCTGCTTCCTCTGGATTATTTAATAGTGTTACCTTTATGATGCTTGAAATGGATTATGCGGTAACCCGGAGTGAAGTTATTTCAAAATGAATTGAGGAGAGCCACGTTGTATGGTCTTTCATTAGCTTTCGATTTAGTTTGCATTAAAAGCCTTCCACTAGAAACTTATATATGGGATTCAAACAAATACCAAAAGTTGATAGTTTGGATTTGAACCTGTGACTTGAAGTAGTTTTTGACCCCCTTTACCAGTACACTAGAATTTTTCCTTATGTCAGGGAGTTCAACAACTTTTTCCCAACCTAGTAAAGGGGCTGCTAGTTGTAGCGCGCAGTGTACTAGTGAATAGGAAAAGCGAATTGAGATTACTAATGACGGATGGAGGTTGAGGGTAGAACATGTTCATGTTCAACTTTATCCTACTTATGAGTATAGTTTTTTACCTTCCCTTCACCTAGTTTCTCCACTGCATGGAGGGGTTTGTGATCATAATATGTCTCTCGGTGTATGTAAACAATACCCTTTATGAGCTTGTAAATATGCATTGTAAGTGAACCTATTCAAATAGATAGGTATCAATGACCGAACTACTCTTATATTACTTTGTACCTCATCCTCGTCAAATAACAAGGACGTTAGAAGGTATTAAAGAGTCTTCCTGTCTATCCTTCTCTCTGAATTTCTACTACTAGCTATCCCTCATTGTTTCAAATAGCTTAGAACCTTCTTAAGTTATGAGTTTTCTCCAGCCTATTTAAATGGAAGTCTCTCACTAAGAGCTAAATCCACAAGCCGCACTTGTTCTTTGTGCACTCAAAACTAATCTAATTTATAGCTTTTACCATAATACAAATCAAATTTTTTTGATGACCGTGGTGTCCGGGTGGGCTTTCGCACATTGACTAATTCTACGGAATACCTCCCACCTCCCGCTTTACACCTACAATAGGTACCACGTAACTCTGAGCCTAGGACAGATGGAAAGAATCATCTAGTGTTTTTTTATCTCCACTGAGTTTTGAATCTGAGACCTCAGGGTTTTCAACCACTTTCTTGACCAGTAGGCCACACCCTTCGGTGCACCATAATAGAAATCATGCTGAATGGAAGTAAAATGAGAAATATGGCAAGTTAAAACCAAATTACTGAAAAATGAAAGAAAATGAACTCCAATTTCTAAATGCACAATCTATCTAAACTAAACTATATAAACTATAAAGGCACGAAACTTCAACAAATAATATTTTATCCATTTTCTTTTACCTTTCGTTGTAAGTGCATTCAATAATAGAGAATTTTGCTAAATAAGAATGTTAGAGAAAATTGTACTTACAGTTAATTATAAAACTTAATTAAATCATTCTATTTCACATATGACCTTTAGGGTTTCATTTATTAAGCTAGCTAAATAGGATGAACACTATTTGTTTCAGATATGTACATTTTTTGCATCAAAATCTGTACTATCAGGAAGTCTTATTATGAATCATCTTCTATAGATCCTTCCTTAGTTGGACTCTATAACAAGATAACGGTTTTGTGAAAGACTAAGTGAAAGCATAGATATTCCCTAAGTTGCTCAGACTCTTCACTTTTGGTATTGCACCTATGTCGTCACGAATTGGTTGTGGGATCCGTGTCTGATTCAGTCAACCGATTTTGGGTACTTTGACCAAAATCAACGGGGAAAGTTTGGACTGTTTTAATGATTTTTGTAATCAATACAAAAGCTAAGTAAGATTGAAGAAAATGGGATACCTTTTATGTAAAAGTTTACCAATTCTTATTGCTGAAGAATACAATGTTTACCAATTCTCAAAAGTTTCTATGTCACTCCTTTTCACTTATTCTCCTTCCAAAATTCTCCTCAAGTTCTCCAAAATAATTTCTCATAATATAGGCTTTATAACTCTATTTGTAGATGTTTTAATTATTTTTAAGTGAATCCATGCACCTGTAATCATACATGGATCTATAACCTCAATTGTAAAAATTAGATCACGAAGGATCCTAACTTAAGACCTGCAGCCTTATCCAGCACCTTAGGCTATTCCAGGTTGTAGATTTGGAATGTTCTTTGTGAATTATAGCCAATTAATTCTATACAATTTAATATTCTTGACATAAAAAATAAAAATTGAGAAAGACTAGACCCTTCAAGATGGCCCAGTGGTTTGGGCTTGGGACTTCCATGTTTGAGGTCTCAAGGGGGGGGGGGGGGTTTCGCTTTCTGGGTCGAGCTCATTGCACCGGTCTTGCCTAGTGTGGGTTACCTCTCCTATGTGGTTGGCGAGCTATTGCATAGCAGCGGGGTCTCACCCTGTGTGCACCCAAAGGGTGGCGGCTGTGGGGTTCCCTTGTCATCAATTTATTTTATTTTTTTTTGAGAAAGACCCAAGTAGAAAACTATAGCAAAAGTTGGTTTGTCTGTTGATATATCGATTTCATAATTCTTAGTTATAGATTTATAATTAATCATAAGATTAAAATTAATTCATTTTATATACATCAGAGCTCAGCTTTGTCAAAAGTGAAAATGCATAGCAAAATCACAACAATGGAAGACTAAATAAGTGATTTTCCCAAGTTCATCGGATCTCGAGACATTCGTGGTTGACCAGTGCTATCACAGACCAATGGTAAGTTTCTTTTGTACCTTCATTTTTGTTACTTTATGTTATCAATGTCAAACAACTATTAGTTGAAGAAGAAGACGATATATCAGCATATATTTTTTATCTCAAGTAAACTAGGAAAGAAACTGTAAAACTCAATTAATCATCACCTTAGTGGCATATTTCACAGATAATGCTAAAAGGTTACAAAGAGGGGATTTGACTGCATTACCTCTTACTGTTCCAATGCCCTAAGAATAGAGTTATGAATCAACTCTTTAATTTCTTCAATAATAGGTTCATAGTGCCAAGAATGTTCTGTGACTTGCTTCACAACATCCACATCATATAAAGAGAGTCGGGTTCCACCCGCATTTCGTTTCTTACGAAGGCTGGCATTCTATCTCACATATCGTACATCTATTTGAATTGGTGACATCTAATGACCAGCCACATACAAATGTTCGTATGTATCGAACTATACTGTACTATCACTCCTATTTGTATAAAGACTCTTTACTTTGTTTGTTGGATCTTTAGGTATTCCCTTCAACCCTTTAGTTACTAGCTGTGGAGTTTTTCCCTTTGCTTCTGGCTTTGATGAAGGAAGATAGTCAAAAGATTTCCTCTTAGAACGCGAGCATGGAGGCTTTCATCAATACGATATTATTTGTTCCTTACTGGTCTCTTTTTTTCCTAGTCTGCAACTGCCAGCTGCGTCTAGTTTTACTCATCCTAGATTAGGTTTGGACCATTTTACATTAGTGCTTGTCCATTGATGTGGGAATTCTCTATATGTTCACAAGAAATTGCTCCAAGTAATATGTAATTCTAATGCTGTAATTTCATTTTAAAGCGCCTTGCGAGCGTTTCAGAATTTACTTTTTAGTGTTGAGGTTGATGGTTTCTCTTTTCTAAATCTGCAGCAGCTTGTGCTTATTATTCTGTTTTGTGCAGGACTTCTAAAGGAATTTTTATGTTCTCTTAATTTATTTCCCTTGTTTGGGTAGTTAGCAGTTCTTCAATTCTGAGCAGCATTGTATTTCTCTGATCATTATTAAGAAGGATTGCTTATGTTGTGCGAGTTATGTTCATATTGCTGTCCTGGTCATGTTTCCTTACTATCGAAGTTTAAGGTTTAAAATCCTGGAGAACAATTTTTTATTTTGCCGTCATTTTCTTTTGGGGCTTTTGGGTTCTTCTCATAATGTGCTTTGGCTTTTGCGATATTTGAGTTCTGGGGTTGATTAATTTGTGGCATGTAGCCTCTAAATTTGGTGTGATATGATCCTAAGCTATGATATATTTTTGTGTTAGGATTGTTAACTTTGTTACGGTATCAGTCAAATATGCTCCCTCTGTTTCATTTTATTTGATACTTTTTTTCTTTTTGGGTGATTTAAAAAGATGAGACACTTTTTCTATTGAGGAAACTATTTAATTACACTTCTTTTATATTGGAAATTTTATTTAGTTCTTACATTCTATTTTAAAGTTGATGACACTCTCTTATGACCGTAAGATTTTAGGAGCGCTTTTTGACATGTTATACATATTTGCATTATGGCATTGTCAAATATATTTCTTTTTTTATATTCAATATCGTGTTAAATACTATTATATAAAATAATATAGCTAGAGCTACCTTGGTCAGGTCAAGCTCATTGAATGCCCGGTGCAGCCTCTTGGCCTTTGATTGACCAAATCAATGTCCATTGCCAGAACCTTCAAACTCAATATATGTATGCTAAGGCGTTTAAATGTATGCGAAGTTGAGGTTTATTTTGATTCAATCAACTATATTTAAATCAGATATACTATTCAGGCGGATTCACCTACCCTAGTAATACTCTCGTCAAATCACACTTTATCGTTTGTCCAGGATAGGAGATACCATACTTGTTCCAAAAAAGAAAAGAATGGGAAAAAAGAAGAAGCGTGTGATAGCCTTGTGAGAAATAAGAGTTGAAAGCAGAGGAAGAAATGATTATATTAGGTGCTTTGTATATAACTGTTGAGCAAGTCTGTACGAGTACTTAAGCTAGTTATGTTTCATACTGCAAATAGGAATCCTCCTATATGGAGATACTCTTCTTACTTGCACATTAGAGGCTTATCTCATTGAGGATCATATCTGCTTAATTCTTACTCTTTTTGACAATCATTTTCTTCTGGGGCCACCAACATTGTCTTGGTGCTCGGCCAGTTATATTAATAAAATTAAATACAGAACACATGTTACCTATGTACACGTCTAAGGTGAAACAGACTAGCTACATTGCCGGAGCCAGCATCTTGAAAATCATATGTGCAATAGGTTATGATTTTCTTCACTTGCCATCATTTAGGTACATGTTTTTATGGCCTCCCTGACAGGTACTAGCTGATCAGAGGAAATGCCAATGGAATTGATGATGGATGCAAATGAGTGAAGATGTTGACAAATGGGTGCATTTTGCTACTAAACTTACTAATGTTGAAGATTTTACTCTTCAAAATTATGGAGTAGTCTAGTTTCTCTTTCAATTGGTCTAGTTACACATCCGTTCAACATTAGCTGGTTTAGTTGCAGAATATTCTCGTAAACGTCTAAGCGCTAGTGGTTTCTTTGGATGTTTATTCTACTATCACTCGATTTCACCTTCCCCAGTAATGAAAATCAAAATGGTGCTGTTGATCACCAGAAAATCCAGAATTTCAGGTATGAGAAGTGTTATTTGTTGATTTATGGAAACAGTTTTCTACTCAACTTGCTACTGTAAAGATTTTACACTTGCACTTTTCTGCATAAATGACTACAGGTACGAGTTTCCTCAGTTTGCATATAAACATTCATTGTTGCGGAATCTGGTTTTATGACATTGTCAACTGAACCCTTGTGGTAGGTTAATGGAGTTATCTCGTTGAACAGAAGATTGAACTGAATCTTCGAGGATGAGCTATGAGAATAAAGAGTTTTCAAATGGACAGAACAACATTAAAAATTTGAGTTGATTTATAATTATGTAGTTTTCCAAAGTTCTTAAAGTTCATTGTTGGATAATAGCTCTCTGTTTATATACTGCATTTTGCATCCTCTGAATGTTGTTGAATGAAGTTCTGCTTTTTCCTCATTCAAAGAAAACGTCATCTTTGAATTTTTAAACCAACCTAGGACACTTTTATGTGGAAAAACGTGGTCTTTTAGTCCAAGTTACTTTTACAAAGTATTCACAATTTTCATGGCATTTGTTAAGTATGTTGCATTTCTTTGTTTTCACATAATTGGTTTATAAGTGCCTGTCTATACTAGTGTTGAAAGGGTGGTGGTCTCCACCATCTAGCTGGAAAGTTTTACTACTTAATACAGCCACAGTACTGTTGGGCGTCCCTGGATTGACAGCTTTCTATAGATCTTGAGACGGTGATTGAACGGAAACCAAGAGTAAGTTTCTTTTATATCAACAAATTTCTGATCATAAGTACTGCAGGAAAATTATCAATTTATTTAATGTAAACAATCATTTTGGTATAATTGTTAGAATATGATAAAAAGTTGCAATCCTGGTTACCTCTTCAAATAAAAGTAAGAATTGAACTTCAATCCTCAAGTAAGAATTAAGATAGGAAAGGGTTAATCTTTGACAAAAGTGTAAGAGATAGGCCTTGAATGTGTAACCAAAATGAATGTTTGATGTGCTATTCAACAAAAACTTCCAACTTTTGTGGATTTCTTCCCCTGCTCATTGTTCCCGTAAGTGCTAAAATAGAGAAAAAGTCAGAAGATTTTTGTCAAGTAACTCATGAAATGAAATGCATTAGTTAATATTGAATTTCCTCAAGTCATTTTTAGTGCTAGTCTGAACTTCCTTGCTTTCCATAATTTACTCATTTTCTTCTATTCCACAGCTCTGCTGAGCAGGTGCAGTTGTATTCCTAAAATCTTGTTTAACTTGTTAAAAAGCAGAAAACATTATGCTAGTTTGGTACTTAAAACGATCCAGAAAGGGACCATTGATCCATGGAAGAGGTCCTTCCCCGTAAAGATAAATACAGTTAATGTTTGATACAACATCTATTGGAATAAATATGATAATAGAATGACCGCATGTGGAAAAATTCCTGGTATAGGACCCACAACTGTAACTACATTGATGGAGCCATCCTCTTGAAAATTGTATGTGCGATAAGTTTATCATTATCTTCAAATCCCATCATTTAGTTAGGTATGTTTCTGTGTCCTTCCTGACAGGTACTAGCTAAATGCCAATGGAATTAGTGGTGGATGCAAATCGGTTGAGATGTTTGTATTGTAGCATCTTGTGTGGCTCCCTGAGTGACTATGATCAGACATGGCTTGCTCCGGAGGACAGAGGGCCACTACTTCAGAACAAGAGGACACATATCAAACAACTCTTTGAAACAATGGTCAGACACCCCTTTTTCCATTGACTCTATTTGTTTTAATCTTGAACAAGTCTGATCTGTTTGAGGAGACGGTTGCTCGTGTATCATTGGACTCTTATGAGTGAGTCAGCAATTTCTGTCTAGTGTGGGACCATAGTAACCATTCGCAATGAAGTTTAAAGACCTCTATGCTATTTGTGTGGCAAGCTCGGGCAATAGACAGAGTGACAGCTGATGAGGTGTTCAAGTATGTTTGTTTGGTTGTGAAGTGGAACGAGAAAAAGGAAGAGACGTACTATGCCACATAATGATATCACCATGACCTAGTGGGGCTACATATGCCAAATAATGATATCACCAGAAGAGTTCCTCACTATATGCCACCTGGTCTACGTCGTCCTTGTCTTCAACTGCCAACCCTGTTTAGATCAGCTCTTGGAAAGTGTAGTTCAGATTCTGGAAATGTAATTTGAAAGCGTAGTTTAGATTCTGGAAAGCGTCCTTGTCTACCTACATTTGGTTGATCTTTTATTCCTACAAGGGAGTTCTCTTCTTTTGGTTACAAATTTCTTGAAAGACATACGGTGATGACCTTCAGTTCCTATACATGACAGTTTAATGCTTCTTTGGTTAACAGACAGAAAACCTAATATAATCAAAGCAAGAAACAGTGCTCATGACATATTCCAGCAGAACTCGGAAGGTAAGTATGTTTGGATGAGAGTATCAATGTGATTTTCAGTATAAAAGCATGGTCAGGATTCAACAATATGTATTGAAATCACAAAACATTAAGAACAAGATGGTTAAGAGAATGAACACATTGTCGTTTACTACTAATACCTCCTTGGATACAGGCAAGTGCAATCCAAGTCTTGTCTATCAGCTCAATCCAGTTTCAAACATAAAGTCACAGATGAAGAGGATCTTGGAAAGTGCAGGAACTCCTCTACTATTTCGACATACGCATCACTGCTTTTGCTTCTGGGAACAATGACAAATTTTTCTAGCACACTTGCATGCTTGAGCAAATATTCAACAAACGGCAGCATGGACCCAGAAAAGTCCAGGATCTCGATGGTCCTCAGATGTCGAAATGAGCCACTAAAATCATGTCTCTCAAACCTCTTGATCTGTTCATCCTCACTCGTGTAACGTAACAGCTGGGCCTGTAGGAAAGAGATCTGCTATCTTAGATAGAAGAAGCAGGAAGCCAAGGAGTTGTTGATTGTGGATAAAATAAAAAGGTGGAACATCTCAGTGCTTGGCAAATGTATGTTACAATGTTCAACGCATCTGATCATTCATTCCAAAATGTTTTTCCAACAACTACAAAGTGTTTACTCATAAAGTTTGATAGTGACAACATGAACCAAAGCAATACAAGCTACTGTTTCATGAAGAGAATAATAAGTTTTTTTGAATGTCTTACAGGAAAAAGGAATAACAAGCACACAGCTGCAACAGATTTAGCAAAAATCATGAACTTCTGATACAAGAAAAACAGATTCTGAAGAAAAAATTATGACTGAAGCTATTAATACAACAGGGACAGCTGTTTTCGACTACTCGTTTCATATCTTGAAGGAAGAGTGAGCTTTAAGTTATTGAAAGGGTCAGATCAATAATAGCTATGCTATTGCCCAATGCACATTTTTCTCTGCATCATAAACGGATCCATTTCAAATCCAGCCGGAGGTCTTCTAGCCTTGTTACAGACTAAAGTCCTAAAGAAACGCGACCCAAATTCCTCCCTAGCTCAGGTCAAACGTCTTCCTATCTATTCAATATAAAATACTCACTTATGAAATCAAGCTAATAAGGCCAAAAACAAAGCATGGCATCCACTAGCATGAAAATCAAGCGAAGTAGAGACATAAGTGGATCGAAAGAAAAGAAGCAAGACGACTACTTCCATTCCTCTCCCATCAAGTACTTACAGAACTTCTCATCAGTTAATCCCCCCTGAAGTATTTCACAAAGGTGACTTTTCATTAAGTTTAGTGATCCCTTTCCTAGTGTACTGGATATCTTCTTCCACTAACAATTGTTTTATATTTGATAACATGAAATACACAAAAGTAAAGGGAACTTACTCTTGATTCATTGTCCCCATCAATGACTAAAGTCTCCAGATGCGATGAACTCTGTAGATAACTGCTAATTCCAGGGAAATCTAATTGCCTCAAGGTTGTGCTAAGTTGTAAGAATTTCCAGGTTGATGGTTGAGGCTGCCACCCATCCAATTCCAGTATGGACAGATACTTAAAAAACCACATAGCGAAATGTCAAAACAAGAGATAATGCAACTTAACAAATCTGAATTTCGGTAAGTGAAGAGTATAAAATATACCTCGCTGCACCAGCAACCTAATTCAAGCTTCTTGATATGGGCAACACTGTGAAAAATATACTTCAAACAAGTAGACTCCCTGCTCTTCCTCTTCGATTTGTCCTCTTCAAAATTAAGAACAAAATCAAGGACTGCAGTGACAAGCGAATCCACATTTCTCAAGCGTATCCCACGGCACAACCCCAGAATTTCCAAATCTTTAATATGTGGGGCTATTATTACAAGCCATTGGCCACATTCATCATCATATGTGAAATCCTTTATGACCAATTTTCTCAACTTCACATTGCAGATTCTCAGACGATGAAGTCCATGAAAATCGTAGAGTTTCAAGCACTCCAAGTTAGGGCAACCAGATAATATCTTTTTCATTACACCATCCTTCAAGCACATGTTACTAAATGAAAGAGAAACGATACCACTCCAATTCACATTAGCTAAAGGGTTTACTGTACAGAACCGTAAATCCAAATTCCTCAACGTCGCATTCTTATACGCAAACTGAGGAAACTCATATCCACATTCACATTCAAGTATTAAATCTTCGACTTTTCCAAGTTCAGTTGCAAAATATATCCATAAATCGATATCTTCAACAAAATCCTCCGGTTTATAAAAATCAAAAATCAACTCCAATTTTCGAATTTTGTCGAAAGACCTAAAATAATGAAGCTCTCTATGCGTAAAATTTACCATTTCTTGCATATCATCATCTAAGAGATTTTCCTCCAAGTAGAAATCGAGAGGTACTGGAACAGACTTCCAAAGAAACTGCCATTGCTTAGACAATACACTAGTTCTCACAACTTCTTTACTATCTTCACTGTTTTTACACATCATAGAGAGAATGTGAATCAGAACTGAGTCGGGCAAATCACTGAATCGGTTTTCTTTCGCCATTGGAGATTGGAGAAGAAGTAATTTGGGGGTTAGGGCTGATTGAGAGAAATGAAGAGATCTCACTAAATGGCGGGTCAAATTTAAATTGGGTTTCATATATATATACTATGTTGTAAGGGCATTTTGGTCATTTTTTGACATTTCTCCATTTTAGTTTATTTATCTTAGTTTTTTAATATTTATTTGAAAATTACAAAAAAAAAATATATAAACCACGGTAGATAAACATAATCAAAATTTTGATTTTTCCTCTTGAAATGGGAAATAACGTATAAATGACGTATAAAATATTATAAATTCTTTTTATCTCATTTTTGCTTGTGAATTTGATTATGAAATGCCTACGACTTCAATACTCAATGTAAATACGCTATGTTGTTTTGTGAATGCGAAGTTGAGCTATGTTTTGATTCAATCAACTACGTTTAAATAACATGGATTATTTAGGCGAATTCATTCATCGTGACAATACTTTCATCGAATCAAGCTTAATTTTATAGTTTTATTGTGTTCCGAGAACGTCTACGAAAAAGCTATCGTAAAGTTTCGTTCTTCGTGTAAAAATGGGTATATAGGTGGAGACACTTCAATATTGTCTCCAACTATATGAAAGAGTTTGTTAACGAAGGCTTAGAGCTCTTTTCGTTGAGTCCAAAAACTTTTCAAAAGGATTGATCTAAACCAATGAAGCTTTAAAGTACCTTGTAATTTGATCATGTGTGTGAAATAAACAACAACAACATATACAGCATATGGGATGTGGAGATGGTAGAGTGCACACAAAATTTATCTCTACTTTGTAAAGATAGAAAAATTGGTTTTTAAAGAACCTTAACTCGAATACAACAAATCAAAGTAGGTATGTTGCGAAGTGCAACCGAAGCCTTGTTTATCAGCTCAATCCAGTTTAAAACATGAAGTAACAGAGATTAAGTATGTTGCGATTATTACAAACAATAGTAGCTAAAGGTTATCTATAAGAAAGTAACAGAGGTTAAGTGTAGCTTTTTCATCTTTCTCAAAATTGTCCTTTATTCAATATTTTGGTTTCGTTTCAACTTCTTAAAATTGTGAAACGTTGATGTGAAGTTCATGAATCTGTCAAGCCCTTAGTGTAATTTATTTTTTATTCTGAAATTAAATGCATTTATCCCATTAATTTTGAATTTGTTAATTTTTTTTTAATTTTCATTTGTTAGAAAAATTTTCATGTACTCTGTTTAGTTTTATATAATACACAACATCTTTAAAATAAATATAAGATGCAGTTTCAATTGATTTGCACAATAATTTAGATAAGTATATTACTATTCAAATTATATCATATAATTGAAAGGTAGAGATTCATATAGCCGATTGTAAATTTGAGGTAACAATGTCAAAAAATCATTTCGTGGTAGTTTACCTCCCTGGTGATGTCAATTAATTAGTTAAAATTAGTTTGTCTTTATGTTACGTTGTTAATCTTTAATTTATGTTACAGTTTAATATATGATTATATGTATTACTATAGAAAAAAATATTATATATGAGATTATATACTTTAGAGGTTTATTATTAGTGTCTAATGCGGTGTAACAATGCATGAAATACATTGATTCTAATAGCTTGTCATGTTACATTATATATATATTCAAATACTTAGCGTGAAATACACGTGCGTTGCACGTGATCGAGAACTAGTATATAAAAATGCTAAGATGAATAAACTAAAATAGAGAAATCACATATAAAATGACCAAAATGCCCTTCGTAACAGAGTATATATATGAAACCCAATTTAAATTCGACCCGCCATTTTCATATTTCTCTCAATCAGGCCCTAACCCCCAAATACCTTCTTCTCCAATCTCCAATGGCGAAAGAAGACCGACTCAGTGATTTGCCTGACTCAATTCTAATTCACATTCTCTCTATGTTGCGTGAAGGGAGTATAAGAATTGTGAGAACCAGCTTATTATCTAAGCGATGGCAGTTTCTTTGGATGTCTGTTCCAGTATCACTCAATTTCAATTTACGTGACAATCTCTACGATTCCGTAATGCAAGATTTGGTAAATTCCACGCATAGAAATCTTCATTTTTTCAGGTTTTTCAAGAAAATCAGGAAATTCAAGTTGAATATGCATTATGATAGGCCGGAGGAGTTTGTTAGAGATATCGATTTATGGGTATTTTTCGCAACTAAACTAGCAAACGTTGAAGATTTTGAACTTAATTGTGAATCTGGATATGAGTTTCCTCAGTTTGCATATGAGAATACGTCCTTGAGGAATTTGGATTTACGGTTCTGTACAGTGAATCCTTTAGCTAACGTGAATTGGAGAGGTATCGTTTCTCTTTCGTTTACTGGCATGGATTTGACGGATGGTGTAATGCAAAAGATATTATCTGGTTGCCCTAACTTGGAGTGCTTGAAATTCTACGGTTGTTGTGGACTTCATCCTCTGGAAATCAGCAACGTGAAGTTGAGAAAATTGATTATAGACAACTCAGAAATTACTGAATGTGATCCATGGCTTGATATACTTGCCCCATATATTCAAAAATTGAAAATTTCGGGGTGGTGCGAAGTGATACGCTTGAGAAATGTGGATTCCCTTGTCACTGCAGTCCTTGATTTTAATTTTAATTTTGAAGAGGAGGATCCATTGCAGAGGAAGAGGAAGGAGTCTACTTGTTTGAAGGAACTTTTTCGCAGCATTGCCCATGTCGAGAAGGTCGAATTAGGTCCCTTGTGCATCCAGGTTTATTCATACTCTTCACTATCCAAAATTCAGAATATTATTATTGAATTAGGTCCCTGGTGCATTATTTCCTTGTTTTGACCTACTCTATGTAACAGTCCATACTGGAATTGGAAGGGTGGCAGCCTCCACCATCAACCTGGAAATTCTTACAACTTAGCACAACCTTGAGGCAATTGGATTTCCCTGGAATTTGCAGTTTTCTACAGAGTTCATCGCATCTTGAGACTTTAGTCATTGATGGTTACAAAGAATCAAGAGTAAGTTCCCTTTACTTCATGTTAGTAAACTTTTTGGTAGTTGTTGGAAAAAGATGTTTAACAAGTATTCGTGCGAGGGGATGAATGATCAGATGCTTTGAAGCAAAGCACTGAGATGTTCCTTGAATTTGAAAGTTCTTCGCCTTTTTATTTTATCCACAATCAACTCCATTTCTTTCCTACAGGCCCAGCTGTTATGTTACCCAAATAAGGATGAGCAGATGAAGAGGTTTGAGACACATAATTTTAGTGGCTCATTTCTACATCTGAAGACCATCAAGATCCTTGACCTTTCTGAGTCCATGCTGCCGTTTGTTAAATATTTGCTCAAGCATGCAAGTGTGCTAGAAAAAGTTTTCATTGATGAGTCTCTGGATGTAACAATGGTACGGGAGCTTCTGCGCTTTCCAAGATCCTCTCCATGAGCTTTAGTTGTCTTTTGGCCACTGTTAATCACAACATCTGTGACTTTATGTTTGATAGACAAGGTGCACTTGTATGTATCCAAGGAGTTATCTCTAGTCCAAGTAAACAATGTGTTCATTCTCTAAGAAAGGTTGTTATTAATCGTTGTACCAAATGACCTTGTGATTTCAGTTCATATTACTGTATCTTGATCATGCTTTTATACTGAAAGTTTGAGAATCATTTTTCCAAAATAGTACTTCAAGATTCATTAATTGTGCAAAGACCAAAATATAGCGATTACATGAAGTTCTTATAAAACCTCCATTCCCAAGGCATTAGATTGACTGACAGTCTCAAATCGTGGTCAGTACATGAATTACTTACAATTTTAAACCGTATATATGGTTGGTAACAAGCAATTCTTCATGCCTCGTGAAGAAGTTCAAGATGCATTATCAAACATTCTGAACAACACATTGTTATACTTACACATGAACTATTACAACTCCTTAACTGTGCGTAACCTTGTCTATCAGCTAGAAACAAGTTTCAAATATGAGAAAATACAACTGAAACGTGCGGAGAAGATCTTGGAGCCTAGAATCCATGGAGGTTAGTTAAGTAGAATCTAGAGATATGAAGTTCGATACTGTTGGTATTGTTGCCATTTTGATCTTTAACGATATACTTCAATGTTTTGTTTGTGTTTACAACCATCTTTTTATTTCAGTTTTGTCATTTGTTATGTTATAGAGTAACTAAATTCATTGTAGAATCTTTCTCCAAAGAGGCAAATCACATAATCTAATGCTTTTAGAGGGAGCATATAACAATTATCCAAAATTCACATTGATAGGTGCAATTTTTGAACTTTCTACTATTTTTTGTTTTATTTTTTAATTTTGATATAACGTTTTAAGGTGTAAGTTTTGTCATCTTATTAGCGGCTAATGCAATATTTTGTGTTGTATATTTAGAATTTGATAAGGTATTTGTGCTTAAATGCATATTGTGTTTTTAAGGGACTATTTTGAACCTTTCCTCAAACATAATTAATTATATTTCTTTCTTATCATTTTCGTCAGAATTAAGATATTCTCTTATTTATTGAAAAGTTCAAAAATAGTAAAAGTTTAAAAATAGTATAAAAAATTTAAGACCTCCTTCAAAAACTCTACCCCACCTGTTTAATTTTAAAATAAGTATATAACAAGAAAGGTTTAATAATTCAACAAATCAAGAATTATTTTTATTGAGAAAATCTCTCTTTCTCTTTCTTTTTCAATTCTCAAGATTTCTTTTCGAAACTCTTTTCGTAGAAAAAATATTAATAAAATCTCGATTTTAATCATTTCAAGAAATAAAAGAAGAATTTATTTTTTGAAAGGAATATAAAATAATCATGCAAGGAGCTAAAATTGTTGCGACAACAATATTATTCTTGTTTATGATTAATATAAACGTCTCAGATGTTGCAGCAGGATTGCCAGACAAGAAAATTGTTGTCATAACCAACAACCATACGAATTACCTTAGTATTCGTTGCTTCTCCTTCGATGACGATGGTGATGTTAAACACCTAAATACCATGGGAACCTTCAACATCACCGTCAAAATCAAAAAATTCTTCCCAACTTCAACAATGTTCAATTGCTCCACAAACATGGGAACATTTGTGGCGTTTAATTCTCACTATGAATGTGTTAGCCATTCAAGACCTTGTGAATGGAGATTTGATGAGAACTTCACGTATCGTCATAGTCCAAAGGAGGAAAAATGGATTGCTCATGAGTACAATCCAAATTACGAGTCTCTTACTAGGGGTGGAGTCATCAAAGGATATTACGTTAACTAAATGAAATTATCGAAGATTCAGATAGCTTACTCCAACTTAGAAGAATTATCAAAATGTTTGATTATAAAAATTTAGTATAAAATACGATTTAGAAAAATAGGTGAAAATTAGTTGAGGTGTGCTTATACAAATATTTCAATAACTTCATAGATAGTTTAATTTTGCTTCCTCTTCATTTCATTGGAAACTATACTCAAATGGGTGATTTGGTACGCAAATAGTTGTGTTACAACATGTATTTATTGAATTTATATTATATATTATGTGTATATTTAACGATATTAAGTTACATATATGAAAATCCATTTAAATTATGCATCTCTTACTAGAGTAATAATATATTTCAAATAATATGAAGATTTAGATACGAAATAATACAATATCCTTTTCTCCTTCAATATTATGTTCGTACAAAACTATATCTGACACATTCATTAGAATTTAATTTCGGTTCTATTATTCATATAAATTATTTTATAATCGAATAAATACATCATAAATATTGACGTGATATAGAGAATGTACAAGCAATTAAAAAGTACGAAAATAATTTAAAAGTAATTAATAAATACAAGTGTCTAGTTTTAATAGGACGTTACGTAATTAAATATATCTAATTAATGGTGAAATTTATTCTAATAGTTTTGAGGTTGATAAAACCTTAATTGAATTTATTCATAGTCACTTTTTGTTATTGAATTTTTTATAGGTAGGTTAATTGACTAAATTATATTAATTTATTATATTTTATTTAGCGATTTTTTCTTGTTATATTATTTATCATCGTTCAGATTTTTTTTTGTTTGTTTGCATATATCTTTGTATCTTACAATTTTGATCCCAATAAATTATTTATAATTTATTCATCTTCAAGATATCTCTTTTTTATTATTTGGTACGTAAATTTGTTATGTACCCTTCTAAATCTCTAAAGACTATGGTATTTTGTATTTAATATTCATATGACCAAAAAAAAAAAAGAATCATAAGTTTGTGTATCAAAATTGTAGAAAATGATAAAAAAAAAATAGTCTCTTTTGTTTGAGGATTAAATCAAATAGTTCCATAAGTATTCATTTAACAATTTTTATTATTTCACTAATAAAAAAAAAATACAACTTTTACCCTCCACCAAATATTTATTTAACTTTCTCTATTAAATTTAACGGTGAAAAATTCGAATTATCCAAAATTCAAAGGTGTAATTTTTGTAGTTTCTGCTAAAAATAATAATAATAATTCAAGTCTAAGCAATTTATAAGGTGTTATTTTTGTTATTCCTTTTTCCATTTTGTTATTATCTAGCGCCATATTTTTTTTAATGTGTACTTTATGATTTTATAAAACATTGTTGGTATTTATGCTTATAAAAACAAACTTAAAGAGATCTAAATTGTTTATTACAATCTTAATGGACCATTTTGAACCATAAATATAAGAGATTATTTTTTGTCATTTTTTTCATCTGAATTGAAATATTCTTTTATTTATGGGAAGGTTTAAAAATAGTAAAAGTTTAAATATAGTATAAAAAATTTAAGAGTACTTCTTTTCTCTTGTTTAGTTTCTCTATAAATAAATAATATAATAAAGGCTGAATAATTCAACAAATCAAGAAGAAGAAACCAAGTTTTCTTTTTTAATGGGTGATTCTTTAATTCTTTCAAATCTTTTTTTGATATAACCATGCAAGAAACTAAAATTGTTGCAACTATCACCTCGACAACAATATTATTTTTGTTCATGATCAATATAAATGTCTCAAATGTTACAGGATTACCTAACGAAAAAATTGTTGTCATAACAAACAACCATACGAATTACCTTAGTATTCGTTGTTTCTCCTTCGATGACGATGGTGATGTTAAACATCTAAATACGATGGGCACCTTCAACATCACCGTAAAAATCAAAAAATTCTTCCCAACTTCAACAATGTTCAATTGCTCCACAAACATGGGAACATTTGTGGCGTTTAATTCTCACTATGAATGTGTTAGCCATTCAAGACCTTGTGAATGGAGGTTTGATGAGAACTTCACGTATCGTCATAGTCCAAAAGAGGAAAAATGGATTGCTCATGAGTATAATCCAAATTACGAGTCTCTTACTAGGGGTGGAGTCATCAAAGGATATTATGTTAACTAAACGAATTTTTATAATGTTTGAGTAGCTCTTAGAATACGCATAAAGGGAACTAAATTTAAATTGTTAGTTGTGAATTTAAATTTGTGATATATTTATTCAATTTTAGTATTTTACTTTATTTGGATTTTCTTTTAAGGATATGATATAAGTATTCTTTCGAACTATATCTGAAATCCCAGTGATATATATTGTTTTCTTGAAAGAAATACATCTTAGATTATTAATGTGACATACAGACTGTGTAGGAAAAATGATATAAAAAAAAATAATTAATAGGTACATACAAATCTTTAGAGTGGCCATTGTAATCCAATTAAGAAAAAGCAACCTAAAAAAGCTAGTTGCCTTGAGGTTGAGTTTATGCTTGGTGATAATTTTGATTACATAATATATAAATGTGTTATTTAACTTGGTTTCGTTTTATATTTATATCCTTTAATTTTGGGTGTTACAAATACACACTTCAATTTGTATAAAATTTGAGCAGGTAGGACACCACGTATTACCAAAATTGTCATGTAAGACGTGTGTATCTATTGTTCAATTTTATATAAAAAATAATTAAATGTCTACTTATGCACAACCAAATTTGAAGGACATAAATGTGATTTGAAGACAAGTTAAAAGGCATATTAATGTATTATGCCTTCGAAAAAAGGGGAGTTTGTGACTTCCACTTGAATATTATGTGAGCTTGTTTTCCCGTATTCTTCAAAAGTAGAAAAAGTACGATGTAGCAGTCAGTAAAAAACTTGTCAATCAAAGTGAATGGGACCTTTTATGGAAGTCTTTGTTGGACTCTTTAACACTCGAAGACTTACTTGCTAGTTAAGGCTAAATTTGAATATATGTTTATGTATTATGCTTTTTAGTATTTGATGAGATTTGTTGGTATTTATGGTTAAATCTTTTTTACTTTTAACTATTTCTATCAAATCAACAAATATAAATTGTTAAACATTTTATGGAGGCTAAAAGTGTGAGCTTTTTATAACTTTAAGGGATCAAAACTATTTAATACATACTTAAGGGACCCTTTAACTCAAGGGATTGTTTTTGTCATTATCATCTAAATTGATAATTTTTTCTAATTTTTTTTTGAAGGTTCAAAATAGTAAATACTTAGAAATAGTATTAAGGGATTTAAGACCTCCTAGAAGAACTCTATCCCTCTCATTTCATTTTTAACCTATGAATATATAGCAAGAAAGGTTTAATCATTTAAAAAAATCAGAAAGAAGAAAAGAAATCATCTTTGATAATCTTTGCTTGAAAAAATCCATTTTCAAGCTCCTTTCCAAAATCTTTTCATAGAAAAACATTGTCAAAAACTTTGGTTTTAGTCATCAAGAAAATCGTCTTTGAAGGTACATTTTCTCTTTTAACGAGACTTTCTTAATTTATTGTTTTTTTTTCATTCGATTGATATATATGAAATAAGATGTACCGATATTATATTTGAATCTTTAATAGATAAAGACTTTCAACATACAATTTAAATGTTCATTCATGATGGTTTAATTTCTTCTAATCTTTTTCAACATTTTGAAAATTTCAGGAAGAAAACAGAAAAAAGGAAAGGAAAATATATAAATAATGGAAGAAGCTAAAAAAATTGTTGCAACTTTCACCTCAACAACAATATTTTTCATGTTGATGATCAATATAATTCACTTAAACGTTGCGGTAGGATTACCACACAAAAAGATTGTTGTCATAACCAATAATCATACAAATTATCTTAGCGTTCGTTGCTTCTCCTTTGAAGACGATGGCAATGTTAAGCACCTAAGTACCATGAGCAGTTTCAATATCACTGTCAAAGTCAAAAATTTCTTCTCCTCTTCAACAATGTACAATTGCTCAACAAACATGGGTACATTTGTTGCATTTAAATATGATTATGGGTGTGTTAGCCGTTCAACGCCTTGTGAATGGAGATTTGATGAGAACTTCACCTATCGCTATAGTCCCAAAGACCAAAAGTGGGTTGCTCATGAATACAATCCAAATTATGAGTCACTTACTAGAGGAGGCGTCATCAAAGGATATTATGTTAACTAACTGATATTACAAATGGATGAATTTGTGGAGATCCTCTTTTTCTGGGGGGGCAGGGACACTCAAAAGCTTCATGGATAGCTTCCTCATTTCTTTCTTGTTGACTACATGCATATTATTCGATTCAGAGGAAAAGCTTAAATATGCTATTGATCAGTTCTGAGGGAAAATATTTATTTATGTCATTTGTTAAAGTTTGGCTCATTTATAAAATATCATTTTCGTCTCAGGAAAAAACTCATTCATGTTATTATTTGTTAATTAAATCCGACTATGACAATGTAATCCATTCGGTGCCTTGTCAATGGAAGTTTGATGAGCCCAGGGACAAAGAGTGGGTTCTTCAAGAATATAATCCGAATTATGAGTCTCTTACTAGAGAAGGAGTCATCAAAGGGTATTATGTCAACTAAACATAACAATATATACATATATAACAATACTGAAGATTCAGATAGTTGATTCTAACTTGATTGATATCATAATTCTCTGTTAGAAAAAGCTAACTAGTGTTTAGTATAACATGTAATAGCGCTGAGATTTTAGGTAAATAGGTGAAAGCTATGGAAGGCCCTTCTAGGGACATTCAAAAGCTTCGTGGACAACTTTGTTTCCTCCTCATTTCTTTCCTGGCAACTGCTCAAATGGGGGACTTGGTAGGCGAGCTATGATCTATATGGTAATAGTCATTTTGTATCTTAAAGTGTGCTCATCAAATGGGCGACTTGGTAAGCGAGCTATGTTCTGTATGGTAATAGTTTTGTCTAAAAATGTACTCATCAAGATACACAATATTGAATTTAAGTTATGAGCATATTTCACAGTGCAACACTTATGGAAGTTTCCAAGCTTGCCCTATCCATGTTCTGATTCCTCCCAACGACTCAAATATAGGAAGCCTCATTTCATCGAGATCAGAAAACAAATTTTACGTGTATCAGCATTTACTAGAACTAAAACAAGGTGTTCAATACCTGAATATTGTTGGTAGATAGTGTTAAACTTATCCTCTTCTAGTCCTAGCAATCTTTGGTCCAATGCTTCGAGAAGGTGCTTCATCCTGTTCATACAACATCCCGATTATTCAAAGAGTTGCAAGCTGATTTCACCTTCAAACTTGCAGCAAGCTCTATCAGGAAACTCACCGACGTGTTCACATTTACTAGCTTCATTGTTAAATGGATCAATCACGAGTTAGTAATCAGTGGCCGGAGGGATTGGAAGTGCTTCCATGCCTTTCAAGACTTACTGGCTCCTCACAGTGTATTTGTCATGTTTGTTCTGGCTGTGCATCAGAAACATATTCTTCTAACTTAGAGAGCAATATAATCTCATCAAGTATTTTATGTATTGCCTGAGATTCATGGTGTGAGTCGTCAGCAGCCACAAATTCGTAGAAGTTACCATCAACCTCTATCAAACTATGTCCTGGATTCTTCTTTACACCTTTAGCTCTCATCAAACTTCTAACCATTCTAACATCAGCCCATTTCCTCTCATTAGCACATAAGCTTGCAAGAAGCACATAAATACCGCTATCTTGAGGATCTAGTTCTATAAGTTTCTCAGCAGCGACCTTGGCCAGCTCAACATTTCCATGCATCCGACAACCGTTAAGCAGAGCACCCCAAACAGCTTTATCAGGTTCCACCGGCATTTGCTTTGTGAACTCAAAAGCTTCTTTCAGATGCCCTGATCTGCCAAGTAAATCAGCCATGCAAGCATAGTGTTCCACTCCGGGAATCAAGCCATTTAATTCCATGCACCTAAAGTACTCCCAACCTTGATTGACCAATCCACCATGGGCGCATGCTGATAGAACACCCACAAACGTGATGCTATCAGGCTTGAGTCCTGAGCATTTCATTTGTTCAAAAAGAGTGACAGCCTTCTGGGCGAGACCATGGGAAGCACATCCTACTATTACTGAATTCCAGGAGACCAAATCTCTTTCTGGCATTTCGTGGAAGAGCTCTCCAGCTGCATCCATATTTCCACATTTTCCGTACATGTCTATTAATGCATTTGCCAGGATCACACTGAATTTAACCTGTTTTTGCTTAATATAGTAATCATGAATTCGTCGACCAAAATCCAAAGAACCAGATTGAGCACAAGCAGAGAGCACAGAGACCAAAGTGCTTTCCATGGGAACCAAACCTCGTTTCTCCATTTCATGAAAGAGTTCAAGGGCCTCCCAAGGTCTATTATTTTGTGAGTAGCAAGCAATCATCGCATTCCAAGAAACTACATTTCGTTCAGGCATCACACTAAAACACTTCTTTGCCAAGTCTACCTCCCCATTTCTTGCATAGCCATGGATCATACTTGTCCATGAGAACACATCTTTTATCTCCATCTTATCGAACATCTCTTTAGCCATAGGCAAACAACCACATTTCACATACATATCCAATATGGCATTCATCAAATTAAGACTGCATTCCACACCTCTGTTCTCCACAAGTTCATGAACCAATTTCCCCAGATTCATATCCCCCTTCAACGAACACGCAGAAAACACAGTTATCAACGTAACGTCGTTAAACTCAACACCACTTGAACACATCAAATCAAACAACCTCAATGCCTCATCAACCATTTTCATTTTCACATACCCATCAATCAGGCTAGTCCAAGTAACTACATCCCTAACAGGACTTTCATCAAACACCTTCTGTGCATCAACAATTTTCCCACTTCCACCATAAAAATGAACCAAACCATTCCTCACAATCAAGTCACCCAAAAACCCAACTTTCCAAATCCTACAATGCACCCCCACCCCCTTCAAAACCCCACACCCTTTCAACACAAAAACATAACTTCTCTTATCCATTTCAACCTTTTCCCTTACCATTCTCCTAAACAAACAAAAACTCATTTCCAAGAACTGTTTTTTAACAAAACCCCTTATCATAGTATTCCAAATATACACATTGGGTTCACTAATTTCTGAAAACAAAGCATTTGCATAGTTTATATCACCATTAACATCCAAAGCACAAAAGGATATAAGTCTACTAATAGGAAAAATGTGTGAAATCATGCCAGTTTGTATCATATTGGCTTGAATTTGCTTTATGTGTGAAATTGAATTGCAAGATTCTATGAGGATAAGAGTTGGGTGGGTGATTACAAGATTTGGGTTGTGGTTGGAATTCCATTTTCGTTGTGAGGAAAACAATAGCTTGTGAAAATGAGGGAAAGATTGGAACTTGAAGAAATATGGAAACTGAGGGACTTTCATAACAAGAAGCAAAAGAGGGAATTTGGTTTACTCATTTGTACTAAAGAATTTTATTGAATCATTTATACATGTACGATCAGATTTCAATTTGTTTGTCTTGCTTTTATTTTGTTAGAAAAATGCTTGTGTATTTTTCTTACTTTAAAAAGTTGCGTACTTTAAAAGTAGATGGAGTGATCAAGCGATCATTTTTGCGTTAACAGAATGGAACAGAATGATACATCGACATGAACATGAAATTCCTTATTTCAATTCGAAAATCGAAGAATTGAGACTAACAACAAACATTCATCTACCAACGAGGCTTTCCACAAATTGAGATTTAACCATAGAAGTATTGAATTTTATATGAAGAACAAGAGGATACAAAAGTAATAAAAAAGGCGGATCGATCAATTAATTGTATGGTCATATTTTTGAACTTGGAACGAAAAGAGGAGTAATGCATAGCTATTCCTCAGTCTCATTTCATCCAGCCAAGCCAGAAGGCAAATCAATGTAACTCCTAAAGCACATGTTGCTTTAGTTAAAGAAGTGTCCAACAATGATTAGAGAAATGCTTTTCAATATGTAATATCCAATCATAATTTTAAATCAACAAAAGAATGTGCAATATAAGATCATGAGTTTAAATCTCAAATTTGTCTTATAGTAACTCTATGTTTGCAATGAATATTGTAAAACAAATGTGCTATTTAAGATAATGCTTTATAGAATCAAATTCTCAAAAAGAGTGATTAGGGATTCTTTTATAATATATATATATATATATATATATATATATATATATAAATAAATAGAGAGAGATAAACTTGACTTATAAGTTTATATTTCTTTTAAAAAATTTTGTTTGGAATGAAGAGATAGTTCGCATGGTGTAAAATAATTATATCAAAATAACTAGTTATTGCTAATATTGATTAATAAAACTTTATGAAATTGTATATATTTAAAAGTTTGTAATAACAAATATTTATAAATAAAAGCAACATGGAAATATGCGGTCTATCAATGCGATATCTTAGGATATTTCGATATCTTATTAATGAACTATGATTTGTAAGTTTGATAAGATTGTGTATGCATTAAAAGACATTTTAATAGTTTTCTTATTTATGAAAGGAATAAAAGCTAACCTGAAATATATAAATTGCAAACAAAACTTTGACTTTATATCAATTTAATTATAAATCATGATTTTATATAGCATACTCAAACGAGTCTTTCTTTTTGCCATGTTTAAAATTACAAATAAAATAATAATTTTAATACATTTATCTTTAATTTAAAAACACAAAATACAAATAAATTAAACTTGACTTACATAAAAAGAAAAAAATCCAAAAGTTAACCTAGAATTACTTTACTCGTCACATTTTTACTTATAAATAAGGAAAACAAAATTTACATGACTTTTTCTTTACCATACTTTCCTATTAATTAATGTTTGATTAGGGAATAACAATTAATGTAAGATAAATATGGAAAAAAAGTTAAAAGTGATAAATAAAACAAAATCTATTTTAAAATAATTAAACAAATAAAACTAATTTCTTTTTTTAAAAAGTACTCTATCTTTTTGGTCCCACATTTTTAAAAAATAAAAAATTATTTGGAGCCATAAATTTGATTTTCGAAATTTTTTGAAAGCAAAAGTAGACTAGATTTGATTATCCAGTTTCAGTCAGAGCAAAGACTTAAAATTAAATTTTACCACAAATTTAACATTACACGTGAGATTAACTGTCCTTTCCCACTTTTCCACTTGCACGATTTCCCATCAATAAAATTTTATTTTTTTAATTTTTTTTATATTTAAGTAAATTTAACTGCTTTTCTTAAATAACAAATAATATAGTAATACATTTACAAAAAAATATTTACATTTAAGCATTGGAAAATAATTATAGAATATATTATGACGATTATATCAAAATATATTACTAAGATCAAATATATTTGATAAAGTTGAATAATACTAACAAACTTCATATAATATTTTTAAAACATTGTTCTTTTCAAAGACAAGCAGAAAATATGAATAACAAAGACATATAACATAATGCAATTTGAATGATAAGATTATAGATATGCCAAAAAGAGTTATTCCTAACTAATTCAGAGTATAAATCATCAAAAATCGAATTAAATTAAATTTTTAATACAAAACCTAATTTTAAAAATTTCATTTATTATATTAACTTTTAATTAGGTATATCAACTACAGTATTATTTTTTTGATTATATATATATCAAATATAGAAATTGAATTATGATAAAACAAATTATTTTTTTACCTTAAAAGGCTGACATATTTACAAATATAACCTTGTATTAACTAAAATTCCATATTTAGATTATACTATTTTGACCAATCCTCTTCCCCTGTTTTCTTCTGTAAAGACACCACCTATTCTTGGCAATTTCCAAATAAAAATGGCGAAAAAGCAAAATGATTCTTCAAGATTTTCAACAAATCTTACTCCATCTCCCCAAAAAGACAAACCCATTTCATCTTCATCAGAATTAGCTCTGTTTTACCCTCAAAATGAAGAACCAGTTCCAT